GATGCATCATATCTATCGGCGATATCATATACGCCGGCGCAGCTAGCCTGATATCTCGTTCCAAGTTCTAGCAAATGCAGGTTTTATACGTGACTAAGGGCTAGAATTTTCACCTACATATCTGTAAATTTTTAATAGCTATTTGACAAATCTGCAAGATTTGTAGCCCTGTTAAACTCCTCAAAATGAGAATATGTTACGGTGGCGGTGTACAGAACGTGAATATAAAGAGTACATGGCGCGTTTTGTACGATGTCGTCATTATATTTGCTCATTTGAAGGACTATAATAGGGTGATAAATCTGACAGATCTGTTGCATACCTATTGAGGACTTTATAGATAGTTGAAAATACCAGCCCTAAGTCTTATGCTGCCTGCGCCATAGCGGTTGTGCGTTAAACTTTAGGTCTACCAGTGTGTTGCACCTATCTAGTAAACCACACCAGCGTACGCTACTACGCCAAAGGTGGCAATGGGAGTTGACTCATTTTAAAGTTGGGTATCAGCGCACGTAACACACTGTACTGAGTTAACTCAATTACGCCGCGCAGCGCAGTGTTACACATCTCTACTGCGTATACAACCTGAGACGTTTAAGTGAAAAGTTTAAAGTTTGTGTTTTTTCTCTATTCATGCTTAGTCTGTTGGCCTGAATCCAATTTGAGATGCAGGCTTGTGACTCAGATATGCGGTGATGCAAAGCATCGGCATCTGTTGAGGAGACCATTACGGTTGTATCATCAACAAAAAGGATGAGGTCGGAATCATGGGGAATGTTATTGGGTAGGTCGTTGATAAATATCAAAAACAGGAGTGGCCCCAATACTGAGTCCTGAGGTACACCAAACCTAAGTGGAAGACGACCGGACTCTAGACCGTCAAGGGAAACATACTGCGATCTGTTCGTCAAATAAGATTCGAGAAGATTTATGCTGCTGATGTCCATATTGAAGGCACTAAATTTACGAATTAGTAAGTCATGAGAGACGCAGTCCAACGCCTTTGTTAAATCATAAAAAGCAGCTCCCGAATAATTATTGGCTTCGAAGCCATTCTGAACAAATTGTACCAAAATGCGGATGGCGTCCGATGTCGACCTATTTCTTCTAAAGCCAAACTGCCCGGAAAACAATAGACTATTAGAATTGAGGTGAGTTGCCAGTTGATTGTTTAAAATTATTTCAAAGATTTTCCCGAAAATTGGCAGAATGGATATTGGTCTGTAATTGCAGGGGTCGTGTAGCGGCCCTTTTTTGTGAATAGGAATAACCTTTGCCACTTTCAGGCAGTGCAGAAAAATCGAGTTCAATAAGCACTGGTTTATTAGTTTACATAATGGATAAACAATTATATTTGAGACTGTTTTTATTAACCTACTGTTTAATTGATGCACATCCCTGGACGTCGATTTTTTTAATTTTGAAATTATGTCACGTAGTTCGTTATAAGATATCGGTTTAAATTCGAAAAGTTTATTATTATGATCATTGACCAACGGACCCGAAGAGACATTATGATTGTTTAGTGTAGGGAGGTTAATATCATTAAGCACACTTTCAGCCACATCAACAAAGTACGCGTTTAGGTCTGAGGCCGTGAGTTTGTCGGACGAACGTTTACAAATTAAAGGATTGGTGTTCCGAATAACTTCCCAAATAGCACGCTGTTTGTTTCCTAAGTTTTCAATGTGTTGACTGTTGGCTCTCTTCTTAGAGTCAGTAATAAGTTTCCGGTAAAAGTCTTTATAGTACCTGACCTGAGCACTCGACACTACCGTTGGCCGGTGTCTGTTGATATCGACCAGCAAGTGAAGTACATTCCTAGCAGACTTAATTTCGTTGTTGAACCAGGATATTTTCGGTCTATTATCCTTAAGATGGTCAACTACTCTAGATTTCTCCCTGAAGCAGAGATGAAAAGAATCTACAATNAAAATATGAAAATTTGATGAAATTGTTGATTTTTCAAATTTTATAGGTAACACTCTGGAATTGGAACATGTTATAAAAGAACTATTAGAACAAAAGTTGTAGCAAATTCTATTCTTAACAACATTGCCCTCTTGCACTTTTGCTCTTGGATGCGTCAATATCGGGAAAAATATAAAAATTTGATGAAATTGTTGATTTTTCAAATTTTATAGGTAATACTCTGGAATTGGAACATGTTATAAAAGAACTATTAGAACAAAAGTTGTAGCAAATTCTATTCTTAACAACATTACCCTCTTGCACTTTTGCTCTTGGATGCGTCAATATCGGGAAAAATATGAAAATTTGATGAAATTGATGATTTTTCAAATTTTATAGGTAACACTATTGCGCCTCCTCTACGGAAATCATACTGCCGACAAATCTTCGGCAGCCTGGATACATTTTTGGACATAAGAATAGAATGAACTAAATAAATTAGAAATAAAATTTTATTAAATAATTTGTGTTAACAATTAATTAATCAAGAAGTAGCTTTAGCGGCACTAAACCAATAAAATTTGGTACTTTTATCTAAAATAACATAAAAAATGAATACAATAAACCCTTCTAAAGGAGCGACAAAAGTAAAAATATAATAACAAATCGTTCGAAAATAACCTTCCGGTAAAATTTCAACCAAAATCGAAAATAACCAAGTTAGACCCAACAAAAACCAAAGCATCATCGCTAATTTAATTCGGGCCATTCTTTGAGCAACATTTTTAATTTTTAATTGAAAAACTTTAAACATTAAAAATATAAAAATCGAACTGATTACCAAAACCAACACAGAAACTGGAACAAAAACCGCATAAATAAATAATTTTTTTTGGGGATAACAATAATGAAATTCATTTTCTTTATAATCCTCCCGAAAAAACGTTAAAGAAACCCCAACAATTACACCTGGACAAATCCAAGTTAATAAAACGGATCGCCAAGAAATTTTAGTTCGCATCTTTTTAACCCTTTTTAAAACCAATACAAAATCGCGAAATTTCGTTTTGGCTATCAAAAAACATACGCACAATTTAACCAAAACTAACAAATGCAAACCAGCCCCTAAATAAACACAATAAGATTTTAAATTAATCCCGAAAATCGTTAATATCAACAAACTTAACTGAAGAAAAATCACAAACGATAAATGTACAACGTTCCAACGCATTTTACGCCAATCCCGCGATAAAATCGCGATTATCAAAATAATAAAGACGCCTATTAACGATATTCCTAATTCAATTAAAGTTATTGTGTGTATTGATTTTGAATGGAATTCATTTACAATTTCTTCATCAATAATTATCAAGGAAAATCGAGTTAAGTGGTAACTATGGCACTCGATTAAATTGTTATTTAATTTTGTTATGATGCCTATATCGCTCCATGTGTTATAATAATAATCCCAATAAACGCATTTTAATTTGTTGTTGTTCTTATTTTTAAATGTTAAAATAATCGGGTCAAAAAAAACATTACATTTGTTATTAACATCGATATCAACGATTAACTCATTTTTTTTATTAAAGATTATTAACGATGCTGAATTGATCGGATTTAATAAATTTTTTGGGAATGTTACGTTTAAATCGTTCGAGATGTACGTTTCGTTTATTTCTAAATTTTCAACGTTTTTGAATTGATCAAAAAATTGTTTTGATTCGTCAATTAATTTATTAATTAAATGAGGGGGTAATAACTTCAAATCGACGTCGAATATCTCCTCGATTTTATCGATTAAACTTTTATTAACACGTCTCGTACTTAATACATTAATTAATTTAATCAATTCAATTTCGTTAATATCCGAATGCAAATTTAAATCGTTTATATCGTACGAGATATTGCAATCGCCTATTGATTTGGACCAAGTCGAGTTTTTATCACATCGGCGATACAACGATTTATTTTTAGAATCGGTACAAATGATGTTGTTGGGATAGCTTATTGATAACATTTTAGTTTTTGGCCAAGATATGTTTTTCCCCGAAATTATTTCCCAAGCGGGGTCACAAAATAATTCTTGAGATAATCTCGAAATGTGGTTAACGCCAAATTTTTCGACCACCTCTTTTTTGACGAGTTCTAAATCGCTAAAATTAGTTGCAAAAATAATTTGGTTCTTTTCGCCCCAGTTATATCGATTATTTAAAAAAGCGTCGTCTTCAACTTTAACCATTGCATTTCTATAAGATTTTCGATACTCCACAAAAAAAGTGTGCTTCCTATTATTCATAGCAAAAACTACATTACTAAAAGAGGGCTTAAAATTTGGGGGGTAAATAAAGTGGCAAACATAACTCGATAATTTTTGAGTAAGTTCTAACGAAAAACGATACGTTTTCCTCGATTTTGTAACATTTTTAAAGATTTGAGATGTATTAATTAATTTTGAATGATGTCTATTCACCCAACAAAAAATTTTGTCGCTAAAATCATCGATTAAATCCATTTCTTTCGTTACATCCAAATATAATTTATACGGATAATAACCGTTATCAAAAAATAACTGCAAATTAACCAAACTATCCTTTTTTGCGTGCTCTTTTAACACGTTTAAAATCGAATACGAACAATTTGATCCAATCATCGCCTCCGGAGATCTCTCAAACGGCGAAATCGAAAATTTTAAGTTCTTTATATCCGGGCAAGCACCATATTTTTCTTGGACACAATTAGTTCCGTTATGGTTAATAAATCCTTCGGGACATACGAAAGAAAACGGTGGTTTTGTGTACAATTTTCCATTATTCATCCTTTTAATATAAGGTAACATCTCGAAATGTTCACTTAATCCATAAAAGCTCTAAATATAAATTTAAACAAGAATTAGATTAAAAAAAAATAAATAAATAAATGCGGATTATTACCTGACCCGGAACGCCATCAAAAATAAACGATGAAGTTATCACGCACGAAATAATTAGAGAAAACATCGTTGTAAATTAGATATAAACTAAATAAATTTTTTTGTTTTATACCACAAAAACGTATCGGTTTATCTTTGTGTTTAAGCGGATGTGACAAAGTGAAATTATTGTTAAAACCACAAAATATAATTTAATTAACAATGAGTTGTTTGAAAAATTTATAACAAACTAAAAAGTGATCAACAGGGCACGGAACTTTTGTAACAAAACGATACGACAAACAAGTTATCAAGTTAGAAAAAAATTGTGTTAACAAAAATTGTTCCTGAAACAATTCTAAACAAACTTTATCAACAATTTTTTTTTATTTAATCAATAATAATAATAATACTTTATTGGTGATAGCATCAAAGTGATTTTCACAGGTCATAAAAAAAAAGAATACAATAAACGCAAAAATGCAATTTTCAATAATAGTAAGTACACTAAACGTAATAATCAGTAACAACAGGTAAGCAAAAGAACAAACAAAAGAGAGAAAAAGGCTTCTGGGAGGCGACACACTGGTCATAGCAAGTCATCAAAATCATTGGTCAAAAACTCCTCAACAGTATAAAAGGCCTTCGCCACTAAATAATTTTTTATTTTGTGTTTGAAATTGTTACTCTCTAACAATCTTATGTGTTTCGGAAGGACATTGTAGAATTTTATGCCAAAATAATTGACGCCATCCCTGGCCCTTGCCGTCCGTAATTAAGGTATCACCTGCCCTTGTGTGGTAATTATGATAACTATTAAGAGTTTTAAATTTGGAGATATTACCCTTGATATACAGGGTGTCCCGTTAAGCGTACGGACCGGCTGTATCTCAACAATGGTAAGGCCTAGAGGTTTGGGAAAAAAATCCTTATAAGCAAAGTGGGCAAGAGAACTAGCTGGAAATTATTTTGAAGTTCGTAATTCGACCGCTAGGGGGCGTAACTGCCATAGAGAAACATAAAATTCCCGCTATCTCAGAAAATTAGACGATGAGCTATAACGTTGACAACATCATTTAGTAGCTTGGATAACACCGCATCGCTTTTGTTTTGCGATATTTCTCATATCTGTCATAATAAGGGAGGGGGNAAAAATCTGCTCCAGCAGACATTTGTTCAAAAAATCAGAGAACACTCGATTTTTGGGATATCAATTTAGGATTCAGAACATGCTTAAGCAACATGATGAAGTATGTTTTGGTGTCGAGAACGGCTGTCTAGAACGTTTGGTCACTTTACTATGGCACATTAAATTTTCAAAATTTGGAAGTACCATAACTTCATTTTTTTAAATGGCACCCCCCATATTTTATTACTTAGTCGTCTTCGGTGTCTCATTCTACATCGTTTATATCCCATATGTCTCATACCTAACATTAATAGTTGGGGAGATAATTAGGGTTTTTTGAAAAATGCACACATATCAAATGGATATTTAGCCTAATGTGCCATGAAAAACAAGCCTTTTCAATGAGTTCTTGTCAAAGACTCACTTATTTACGTCACTTGATGCATGTGAGCTAATAATTATCTGTTAGGTCCCTTAATATTAGTTGGAAAAGGCTTGTTTTTCATGGCACATTAGGCTAAATATCGATATGATATGTGAGCATTTTTCAAAAAACCCTAATTATCTCCCAAACTATTAATGTTAGGAATAGGACATATGGAATATAAAAGATGTAAAATGAGACGCCGAAGACGACTAAGCAATAAAATATGGGGGGTGTCATTTAAAAAAATGAAGTTATGGTACTTCCAAATTTCGAAAAGTTAATGTGCCATAGGAAAGTGACCAAACGTTCTAGACAGCCGTTCTCGGCACCAAAACATAATCCATCATGTTGTTTAACCATGTTCTGAATCCTAAACTGATATCTCAAAAATCGAGTGTTCTATGATTTTTTGAACAAATGTCCGCTGGAGCAGATTTTTCTAGAAAAATTCGAATAACTCGAGAACGGCCAAATCAAATTGCAAAAAGTAAACTTATTTATCAACCTTCAAAACAGAAAAATCCAAATATGTAAAAATATATGAAAAAAAATTTTTTTTCTCCCTTTAACTTCAGGTTAAAAAAAAAGGGGGACTAATTAACTGAAGTCGCTCATACATCGTTTTTTACTCTTGTAAAAATATACAGAGTGTTCCATTTAAAAAAATAAAGTAGGTGGTGACTTCCGGTATAAACGGAAGTGCTAGAAATCTGAAAATATTTTAGCCATAAGAGAACGTAATAATTGATAATACTTATGACTGAATTCTCAAATTTTTATTTTGGCCAGAACCCCAGAAACGTCTAATGACCGGCCTCGCTGAGACACCTGTATATATTTTTATTTTCTGCTGAGAACGAGTGGAGGGGGGAAATCGTATCGTTTTGTTACAAAAGTTCCGTGCCCTAGTTATCACCATTACAACATTAAGTTTTAAATACATACAACAGTTTTAGTAAGAACAAAAAAATTGATACATTATGTTCCATCATAGTATGTATGGTTATCATTAAATACATACATTAGTTTTAGATAGAACAAAATGAATTTTAGTTAATTATTCAATAACTAAAGTGACCGGCAAAAAAAACCGGCCACTATAAATTAGCCAAAACTTCAAAGCTGGCTTTCTCGCGAACCGCGCATTCGATTTTGATTATTGTTTTTTTGATCGAAAGGTTGATTCTTCGGTAATAATCCTGCGATAGAAATTTTCATTTAGATTTTAATTTGAGCATATACGGGTTGCAAGAATGAGAAAAACTTTTGTTTCTCGAAATTTGTAATACCCTGTGGGGTGCAACTGCTACAGCAGATAGTGTTAACTGGAATCACACGGTAGCCCAATCTTTTCTGAACATCTTGTTTTTTTATTCACTCTATTATCTCTATTACTAACGAAGATGCAGTGTTTTAAAGCGAACGCCTGTAAAAACAAGACAAACAAGCATA